AATTTAATTTAATCGATATGATAACGAAACAAGAGATTCAAATAATATCATTTGAGCCTGATTTTTCAGAAAATATTTTTCTAGGATCAGTTTCTTTTTGACACTACATATTTGTCCATGAGAGGAACTCAAAGGTAACTTTTACACGTTAAAACTTTCAAGAAACATTAATACTTTGCGATTAAAAATAATACAAAATAAAGAACATTTTTATAAATTAAATTTTCAAAATAAAAAGAAACAATTATAAATCCTTATTGTTCAACAGAATTTTAATTAATTCTATTTTATCACAGAATCCTAATTCGAGATTTAATCATATCTAGCAAAATTAAAATTTTATATCTGATCGCGACGAGAGGTAGAAACGATTCCTCGCCGAATAAAAGGGAAGGAAGCTTGTCACTACGTAAAACGCGGATCGTTGAATTCGTGTCGATGTCGCAATCGTCGAAAGTGCAATCACGACGTGTTCGCTTCGCAGGACGAAAGGGAGCAAAGCAGCAGGAAGAGACGATGAAGAGGAGAGCGCGATAGGGAGGGGAAGGGATAAAACTGCATCCCGGCTGCGATATCACGTCGCTCACGTTTAAGGGGGTTGAGGTGTCCTCAACCCCCTTAAACGTGATATCGCCCGTTTGCATTCGCGACGAGTATCCCCCACACGATTAAGCCCTCGCCAAGTGGTATTTTCTCGCCAGTCGATTCGTCTGACACTAAGTGCGTAAGTACGCAGTGTAATCTACCAATGCATATAATTAAAGGCTCCACGCTATTTATTTTTCCGCTTAATTAATGCTTATCCGGCAATTGTTCCCATATTAGTAAAAATGCTAACCATTACGATTAAACATTAAAAAACTGAGAAAAATCTGCAAGATGTTACTATACCTTTTTCTGTTTATTAATAGCTTTTCTTTGTATTTTTTATTTTAAATTTTTCCTATTTTTCAACTTTTCATCTAGTTTATCATTATATATATATATTACATTTGCTATCTAAATGTGCATTACTAGTTATATCAATTCCAATTATTGCTAGGTTAGCTAATTCTCGTCATTACAACATATATCGATTCTGGCAGTAATATTACCGCTAATTAACGTTCAATCCTCATGAGGATTCTAGAAGAGGTTAATGCTCTAGAGCATAGTAAATAGTTTATCCGTTTATGATGTTATCGATCTCCAAGTAAAACACCTGCTTCTCTATGGAAATTATTAATTTACTCTATGTTCCTATGGCTTCCTATGGCTTATGACTTGCGACTCGTATTATATTTTCTCCGTGACTTTAAATTGTCGACAGATAATAGAAATATTTTAATTAATCTTTTGCAAGTTCTGGCGCATAATTTATATTTCATTATATTTCTCTTATAATTCTCTAATTTTTATTACGTATTATATAATAATTATCTATTAATTTCCTAAGTTATCTTGATTATTATCTGTCCTTCAATTAGTGTCATTTAAAAATTTTCTTATTAAATTTTCCCGTGGTTCATGCTAAATTTAGAATTTAAATTTACATAACAATAGAATGCGACTTTGAGGAGCTTTTCTTATCAAATTTATGTCTGTCAAGTTGACATAAATTTAAAAAGAAATTTTAAAATAATAGATAAAAATATCGACATAAATAGTAAGATACGATTTCAATTTTAATTTATCTATATCAACTTAAAAATATAATATATAAATAATCATTTCATGTGCAACAATTTAATACTTGAGAAGATAAATAACACGCGCAATGTGAGGGCGACGGTTCTTTGATTTGTGCAAATCTCTGGAAGCCATCGTAATTTTTTTCCAAGCGCAACAACTATAAATCCTAATTTTTTTATCGCTGATCATAGATTGTCCGAGAATACACACACAATATACACACAATACACAGTTATTCCGCGCTTTTAGTAGGTCAATGTATCATTTTATTCGCGAAAGAGCGTTCGTTCGTAATAAAACGTAGCTCGTTCGGCAAACGTCCGGATTTTAAGAGAATTTAAAGCCCCGCATCCCCCGCGAGGAAATGATCCGTTGCCGCGTGGACGAAGAATAGTTTTGGAAAGCCCGTTTTCGTGGCGGTTACTGCCACGACGATGCCGCGGCTACATTTTACGACAACGCAGAATCTCGCAATTGTATACCGTTAAAACTAAAATATCGTTGCGCTAAGATAAAGCCGCAGCTCCTTCAAACATCGTTTTTCTTTCGTTTTTCGCAAAATTACAGTCTTCTATGTCCGACCTGTCCGAATGAGCTGCGTTCATCAGTAATTTTGTCCTAATTTCCGTAAAAGGGACTTTCACAAAGTTGAGATTTTATTTTGGTATATTCAACTGCAATTAAACGTATAAAAAAATACCGTACATAAATAAAAAAATCTCGCAAATATTTTTCAAATTCGCAACATTTGAAAATTATGTTTTTAAAGCATTTATGTACATACAATACTATAAATACGTATGTATATATGTACAAGATAAGCAATTTATATTATATTTCATATTGGAAGATATTTTTAAAAAATCGAATCTAGAAATCTTGATAAATCGGATTAAATAAAATGCTATATTGCCAACGGAATATTCTAATGGAATTTTTGCAGTAGAGCCGCTTTCGACTATTCCGTCTCGTTATGCAAAATGTCGCGTCACTCTACGTAACTCGATAATGCCATAACGAAAAGAAAATTCGCGGTCGTGTAAGAAACGTTATTTACGACGATGCAGCTGCAATCATGCTGTCAGGGAAATCTGTTTACAGCACTGCCAGTGCTTCACGAGTCGACTCTCTTAACTCGCAGCTCTGTAGATATGAAATCCAATAATGGAACGTTCGGCATACATTCATTCCCAAAAGCCTACTTTCCACTCGCCGTAATAGCATATCTGCTTTTGCAAAAAAATAGAACGAGAAAATTCTCGTTTTTCAGCGTAATATTAGGAAAGTTGTCAAAAGCTCGAAATTGTAAGGTAAAATAAAAAGATTGCAGCCGGCAATAATTCTAATTTTTTAATATAATATATAATAATTTAATATAATATATATATTTATTTAATATAATTATTTTAATATAATTATTTAATATAAATATTTGATCCAAATAAAGCTGATTAGAAACTTTAGCTCTTTGAAATTCTTTGCAAAAGACACATAGATATGTATTTTTTAGTTATTATATTTATAGGAGTTAAATAGATTTTATATAATAGATACTTTTTCATGTTGATTAATAATATACATTTTGTATAGTTGTTTTGGCAACGCAAGCAATTTCGAAATTAAAATAGATTTCGAAATTAAAAAGAATAGGAGAGAGAGAGAATCTTTGCCATTTTATTCGCCATTAAATGTGATCGCAAATAATACACGCATATGTTTTATGCAGATCAAAGTATTTTTTACGATAAAAACAAAGGTGTTTTTCCGAGTTCGAACGATGATCCGGATTTTATTGGGTTGCTCGATAAATACGATATTTACGAGCATTGAATTGGCTGTCGACCGAAGTAACGTATAACGGATGAAACGTGAGGCCGATTTGCGGCTTAACGAAATCCTTGCTCCGTCGTAGTCTACTCGTATTCGAGGTTTTCGGTTTTACACGCGACGACGTGGTGGAACGGTAAACCAATGGGATATACAAGTAATGAGATCGAAAATGTGGAAATCGAAAGGTGTAGAGTCCATAAAGTCTCGAATTTTCTCTTTGTTTGGAAAAAGGTTTATATTGGTAAAAAAATTGGAAAAATCAATATCAATCTAATGTAAAGTGAAATAAATAATCTTTATATTGAAATGGGTCATCTGATATAAAAGAATAACTTTGCGATTCGAGTTCAAGAATGAAACAAAGAGACAAATATTCAAGAATATAAAAACTTGTAAACTCACAACTAAATTGATACTTAAATAAAAAATGCTTAAATAAAAATAATACTATTTTAATAATAATGAGATTTATATCTACATTGAATTTTATTTTCAAAATGAATAGACGATAGTATCTGGATGATTTACACATATAATATCTTGAGACGATCAATGTTTGACGTATATCAATGTAGGAAAGCTGAATCATATGAAATGTCGAGCATCAAATTGTCCAATGAATTCAATTAACGACTGAATTATTTTCATATAAAATTCTGCTCGTTTTAATGCGTTCTGCGACGACGGCAACTCAAACAGAATACGTCGAATATCCATATTAAACGGATAATGTGTAAATGGTTGCATTCAACACAGCATAATATCAATAAAGATCGGATAATACTGTCGCAGTAATAATCGAACGAAATTATTGCAAATTACCATTTTATTCCGCAATTTGGTATGCGATCGCAACGCGTGACGCAAATGATTCGTGACGTTTATTCGACAACGATGTTATTTCGTGTGTGAAAAGAACTGACACATCCCTTTCTTCCCGCGAGAAAAATCAAAACGACGTGTGTAATGTAATGTCACACACGCATGATCGTTTTGCAATATATTGTATAAAGCTCGTTTTTTTATGAGAAGTATATAAACAGAATTTTATAAACAAAAGGTTGCAAAGCATTTTTCATTTTTTTTCATATTTACAGGAAATCTTCAAATAATTTTAACTATTTTTTAAAATAATTATTATCTTTTTAAATAACCATTATCTTTTTATAGATAATTTAATTTATTAAATTAATTCAATATTCAATAACTTTACATCTTTTTATTTAAAAAATAGATTAAAATATAAATTAAGCATAAGGATATAATTTATATGAGAAGAAACTATAAACACGCCATAAAAGATACGATTTGTTTTAAAAAGGTTCTAATACTCTGTATATAAGAGAGATTTACGTACTGTATGTATCTGCAACATTATCCATGTTACAGGATAGAGTTCCTTGGGTGCTTAGAAATCTATGGCGCCATAGAGACTCACGTCGAGGCTGAGCGAATGAGCGCTCCGAGAGCCATCGTTCATAAATATCAATGCTGCTTACCTGTACAGGGGTTCGCCGCCGTCCTCTTTGAACCAGAGCACCATGGAGACAGCGTCATTCGACTCGCGGGGTTGTATGTTACACGGCAGGATTGCCTTCTGACCCTCCACCCCCTGTATCGACTCCATGGGTACTGAAACACACATCAACGACTCGCTCAGAGGAATGTCCATTACGCCGCGAAAAAACGAAGAATAATGAAATGAGAAAGAATCGTCGGATAACAAAGAGTTATGGATTTTTTAGGCGGCCTACAACGGTCCCTCGGATCCCCCTCGACAGGATGTTTAAAAAGGCTCTTCCCAGGAAGTGTGTATCACGCTGACAAGATTTCCGGCCGTGATATCATAACTCTACATATGTATATGTTTTACTAACTTCGAGATTTCAACATGCATGTTTTTTTCGCGAGATATTTCAAATCTGAATCCCTTCATTCATGACTATTTGATGCAAATATCAAGGAAATCAACTCTGCTGTTTTTCTTTTGTGAAATTTCTACGACATTATTTTCGAGATTACATATATCATCTGATACATTCTTATATAATTTAAATATAGTGTGAATAATCTTTCATTATTTATTGTGCGATATTTTATTATAACATATCATGCGCGTATCTTTTACATATATTCAGTTATTTATTTAAATAAAATCAGGACTCGTATGGGATATGTATTTTAATGCGCTGTATTTCTTTCTTATACCTAATGATGCGATTTAATCTTAACGTTAATATTCCCGCGGAAGCATTGGAATATTATATTTTTATTAATGCCATGTGTCTATTATATCCAAATATAGCGGTAAAATACACCATATATCGCGATATATTTTTATAGAGGGACATACATATTAAAAAAAATATATAATTATAATGCTCGTAATTCAAAAGGACAATGATAAAGTTGCATCGGACGTAAAGAAAATCTGTCAAGTTAAAGAGGTTTCCATAGAAACGCAATTCTCGACACTTTCCGACGAGCACACACATCTCTCAGATAAGATCATATCGCGGATTTTTATCTGAACAACCTCCTTTCATTTCTCATAGAATTTCATGAATAATCTCTTGGCATATTTTCTTTTAATCTTTGCTCGCGGCACGAATGTTTTTTATCCACGTTAATATCACAATGTCATTTCGTTTCACTAATGAAGCGTAGCCTTTTGCGCGCACAGAATGTATCAGATATGATATCTATGTTGATTAATATTTTTACAAGATATTGAATAGATATTGTCTCTGGTTATATTTATTATGAGAAGTCATTAAAATTAACAAGTCTAAAGAAATAAATGAAAGATATCCATAATGTAATAAATCAGATTAATTCAGATTAATTCGATTTTGGCAATATAGTAAGTAACTTTTCAAATAGAATACTTCATTATTAACGATCATTTATTACAATATACGAAAAAAATTTATCATGTCTTTCAATTTTCCCAAGAATAAAAGCCTGTATTAGAGCAAATATCCCGATGTGAACCGAGGAATAAATCGTATTACTATTCCGATTATCATCGAAATTTTTGTATATAGCGGTTATGAGCGCGGAAATGCACTCGTGTCATGGAAACGAGCGCGATTTCCGAAAGTTGCGGGCGACTTTGCGTTTTATTTTTCCGCCAGCCCGCGAAATGAAAGTTCTTCGCGTGGTGAAACCGGCGGCTACGATGGGTTGCCTTCTCACCCGGAATTCGCTTAAGTCGACATTGCACCGGTTCTATGAGAGGATGCCTCCTCCTCCTCCCCCCCTCTATGCATGCATTTTCGCGCGGAAACACGTATTGCATTTACGTTGGTGGTACAACGACTTTATGCAAGTACGTGCGCTTCTGCGAGCCGGGAAAATTCACGTAAGACCCGCCGATCTTAGCAGGAGGTCATAGTGCATATATATTGTTCATGCGCTCGTATGATGATATTTGAAACTATTTAGAATTGTCCATTTTGCGAGAAAGAACTTGGATATTTTCAGTCTTGTATATAATCTTTACCCGTGCGAGAAGAAACTTATTAAAAAGACGGAGTTTCAAAAGTACTTTGATCTTGATTCAAGCTGTAAATATATTCTCTAATTAAAACGTGTTTACGCAGAATATAGTTATTTTAATTTTTTTAATTATCTTAACTTCACTCTGAAATTACTAACTTTTCGTTAAAAGGATTAATGGCAAAATTGCGACAGGAAATTTTCATTACGTTACATGATAAGTAACTGATGGATTCAACGCAATTCAATTTAAATTGAAAAGAAAAATAAAAAGAAATAAAATTTGTAATAACAAATCGAAATTATGAATCTGATGCAGAAGAAATAATTACAATACGTAATTCACAAAGAATTAAATTAAAGTTCGCACACACATGTATATCATCTTAAATGTAATCTCAAGCAACAAACAGCGCATGAACATACGTTCACGCGTATGTTGCATATGTGAAAATGGATACAATATTTCAATATTTTACGATAATTCAATATTTTACGATACGATTTTCAGCGTCGAAGGAATTTATAGTCGCGGTTGATATCTCGCGAAACGAAATATCGCCGTCTGCCAAACAAAAGCGACGCAGCAACAGTTGCATCTGAAGGGTTGCATCGTCTGACATCGTCCGTCGCGGATTTTTATGCTTCGGAATCTCTCCTGCCGAGCATGTAACCAGCCATCGATATACGGATTACATCGTATTATGGGATACTAACTCGGCGACAGTTATCCGAGATTCGAGACCGATTGAAGTCCCACGAATTCCGTTTTACGAAACTGCGTTGACGAAAAAAAAGGAAAATCGGGGAAGAGATTGAACGAGAGCGACGACGAGCGAAAAACTCTGACTGGCATGCGAGATTGTGAGACTGGACAATAAAACTGACTAGGATTACATTCTAAGACGTGGTCGGGCTTACAAGATTTGCTCTCACAGTGATACTTGGGGAAAAACCGTGTTTCCGAGTGTCGCGCTCGAAGAGGATTGTTTTTGTATCAGAATGCTACGAATATAGATTTTAGGAAATCAACTTCGCTGCTGTTATAAATTTTTTTATTAATATGTGACGACAAAAAGAATTCAGTTGTAAAAATAAGAGGTTTCTTTCTCGTAAATTTTTCGACATTAAATCTATGATAAATAAAAATGACAAATTTATATAAACTTACAAGATTGTATTCTTAAATATCATTGTTATATATAATTATATAATATTATATAAAACAATTGTGTTTAACTGGATTTAAGAGTGTCAACAAATTTGTTTAACATTTTTTCTAATATTATTTATGACTATGAGTTTCAAAAAGCAAGCGCTTTACTAAATAAAATTAAATAAAATTATTAATATTCTTGAAACTAAATACGATGGTTATGATTGTTTACGAGTTTCTACTTAACATTACTGGCTTACAGCGCACGGTGTTTATGATTCAAAATTAATTACGCACGCGCGAACTTCGTTACTTAATAACGTGAAAGGAATTATGTCTCATTTTAACACAGCCATGTTAGAGCTGACTGTCGGACGCGTTGTTAAGCTGCGATTTAAATTAAATTTCTCGTAGAACAATGATATTCCACATGCATGTTGTCGGACGGAAGTGCCGGCCAAGCTCTGCTGGTGACACTTCCGTTGACTGGTGTAATTAACAAAACCAGAAAACCACGAATACCGGCTATTTGTGGACGGCTGTTGTTCGAGATCACTCGCCGCGAGATTTTCTGACGGATTCCTTATTACATAATTACCTTCCTGCCAGACGCTGGCTTGTGTGCAAAAGAAACCGCGCGACTCCAGCTATTATAAATATCACTTCCATTTTTTATTTACTCCCAGTCTGCAAGGAAGACATATCTGCTTTTCTCTCAGACTGTTCCGAGAAATTTATCTATATTAATTATGAGTCCTTGTGATGCAACAGAATTCCAACGATAGATCTAAAGATTCAACGTAATTCTTAATTAAATAGAAGAAAAGCGCATTATGTTTATTAAAATAAATTCTAATTCTAGTGAACTTGAAGTCTTTGCCATAATTGGCTTTCTTATATATTCCATTTTACATTTATGATATTATATAATAGATGAAATTTTTAAAATCATAAGAATAAAATAGAATTTAAGCGATGGAACATTAATATCATTTTTAATGAATCTGAAATTGATTTGTTTTCGATTAAAATGTCAAAATATCAATACGCGATTCTCAAGATACAAATTAAAGGTGTAAATTAAATATTTCAGTATCTGCGATCTCGTTTCTTTTGCTTTGTACCGTTGAGGAAAATCTTTTGCAACGCCAATTGAATAATCATATTTCTTGGAGTCCTCGAGCTCACAAAGCTCTGGCCGTGTCACTCTCTCACGACACAGGGAAAAAAGAGGAGAAGAGGTGCAGAGACAGGGCAATTAAAATGCGGCTGAGCACAAAGGGCACGAGATCTCCCGAAATTTCCACCCCCACACGTTCTACTTTTGTAGACATTTCTCAGCCGGTAATTGCCTTCCGGCCCACGAGCACGAGAGAATAACGGGCGCGCGCGGAAGGAATGGACCGCATGAAATATCCTTTCCATACCTTATACCCCGTAACAGCGAAACAGAAAAAAGAGACGGAGAAAGCGCGTAAAGAGATAAAAGAGACGGTGCAAAAGAACGGGCTGGAAAAGGAAAATTGAGCCATAACTGTCCTGATTATCTGTTTTTAAACGTCAATCTAAAATTTCAAGGTAATTAGTAGAAATTTAATAGAGTATTTAACAGAAATGACAAAGGACATGTATGACAAATTTAGCGAACGTAAAGATAATAGACGGCATATTAAATATCATAATATATTTTTAATATGCAATTTTATATATTTAAAAAATTATTTTTCTCAAGACACGAAAAGAAATAATTAATTAAATTATTATCCGTGAATGATTGATATGACATGTAAAAGATTTATTAGTGAAATTTCTCTCATATATTGAAATATTTTCTATTTTTTCTATTGTAAAGATTATTTAAAGAATTTCGATTGTATCTCTCGTTTTAATGTTCTTCAATCAAAAGAATTTATTCGGTATTTTTGTTACGAATTATGTCAATCTGCGAGACTGGATAATATTCAATTTCTATCAA